CCTTTCCAGAAGTTAGTACAGTAAAAGCTTTATTATCTGGCGTGTGGGAGATGTCGGTTAGTCAAAAATTCTGGTTAACTAAGAGTTATATTTACCAATGGAGGGAGAGAGTTTGAGTGCGGGAGGGGGCTCAGGGCTGGGGTGAAGGAGGGTGTGCAGGCTCTGGAAGGGAGTTTGGGTACGGGAGGGGCATGGGAGGGCTTTTGGGTGCTGGATACAGGCGGCGCTCACCTCAGCGGGTTGCAGCACGCAGCAACATGTCCCTGCTGCTCCTAGGTGGAGGCGTGGCACTGCACACTGCCTCTGCCCACAGGCGCCACCCTTGCAGCTCCCATTGGTCGCTGTTCCCAGCCAATGGGAGCTGCGGAGCCAGCACAAAGGGCAGGGCGGAGGCAGCGCACGGAGCCCCCACGGTCGTTCTTCTGCCTAGGAGCAGCAGGGACATGTTGCTGCTTCCGGGGAGCCACATAGAGCCAGGTAGAGAGCCTGCTGGGCATTCCAGTCAAAAACTGGACATCTGGCAACCCTATTGAAGATTTGTATTGGGAGATATCAGAAATGCCGGTTTCTAGAGATTTCCAGTTGGTAAAGTGTCAGATAACACAGCTTTTACTGTAGTAGTATTGTCTTGCAAAAGGATATCTAGAACTTCAAGCAGGAAGAGGTTTTACCTGCAAGAAAAATAACAGCCAGGTGAAAAAAATCCAATTTACTGTTTCCTACTTTAGAAGAATATGCATAGAGACCATTCTGCAACCACTACAGTGAATGGTTCACACAGACTTAAAAGATATCCAGATGTTCCTTCATTTTATGTGGGACAAATAGAAATAGTAGTTTCAGCATCTACCACGTAATACCTTAGTCACTCCTTGACTTGCAACTCAAAGTTCAGACTGCTACAATTTAAAAACAGGATTTAAAATACATGACTAATCCAGAAATTATCTCTTTGAAATGTTTATATTTTATATTCAGTCAAGAAACATTAGCCAAAGAATGGCATTTTTGGCGTTCACGTTTAATTTGGTCAACATTGAACAGTTCTTGATTACAGAACAAGCAGTAGATTTCCTGAGTCTGGGAACAGATAACACTGGTCTACAATTTTTGAGAAGTCGTCTGCTTCAGAGATAAAATGTGCTATTTATTATGTATTTTGTTGTGCTGAATTCAAATATGACAATTAAAACAACTGATTGGCTACTGTTTCTAAGATATTTAAGTTTTTACATTTTATGTCTATGTATATTGTGTAGATAGTAGAGTTTTAATCATAAATTGTAAACCTAGGTCTTTTCATGTGTTTATGGTTGCTTTACAGGATAATATTTCACCTGTCCTGTTTATGTAACACTTTAAAAATCAGCAAAAGGGTTATATAAATAAAATTTATTATGAAACAAAAGGCAAAAAACTATTATGTACATAGTTTAGTCCTATTCAGTGTCTACTCGGCGCTTCTTGGCTTGTCTCTTGTATTCATTAAATGGAGCATCTCTTGTCACTGTCCAGCAATAGTCTGCAAGCATTGATGGGCTCCATTTGCCCTGATAGCGTTTCTCCGTTGTTGCAATGTCCTGGTGAAATCGCTCGCCGTGCTCGTCGCTCACTGCTCCGCAGTTCGGTGGAAAAAAATCTAGATGAGAGTGCAAAAAATGTATCTTTAGTGACATGTTGCAACCAAGGCTTTTGTATGCCTTGAGGAGGTTTTCCACCAACAACCTGTAGTTGTCTGCCTTGTTGTTTCCGAGAAAATTTATTGCCACTAACTGGAAGGCTTTCCATGCCGTCTTTTCCTTGCCACGCAGTGCATGGTCAAATGCATCATCTCGAAGAAGTTCACGAATCTGAGGACCAACAAAGACACCTTCCTTTATCTTAGCTTCACTTAACCTTGGAAATTTTCCACGGAGGTACTTGAAAGCTGCTTGTGTTTTGTCAATGGCCTTGACAAAGTTCTTCATCAGACCCAGCTTGATGTGTAAGGGTGGTAACAAAATCTTCCTTTATTCAACAAGTGGTGGATGCTGAACACTTTTCCTCCCAGGCTCCAATGACTGTCGGAGTGGCCAATCTTTCTTGATGTAGTGGGAATCTCTTGCACGACTATCCCATTCGCAGAGAAAACAGCAGTACTTTGTGTATCCAGTCTGCAGACCAAGCAAGAGAGCAACAACCTTCAAATCGCCACAAAGCTGCCACTGATGTTGGTCATAGTTTATGCACCTCAAAAGTTGTTTCATGTTGTCATAGGTTTCCTTCATATGGACTGCATGACCAACTGGAATTGATGGCAAAACATTGCCATTATGCAGTAAAACAGCTTTAAGACTCATCTTTGATGAATCAATGAACAGTCTCCACTCATCTGGATCGTGAATGATGTTGAGGGCTGCCATCACACCATCGATGTTGTTGCAGGCTACAAGATCACCTTCCATGAAGAAGAATGGGACAAGATCCGTTTGACGGTCACGGAACATGGAAACCCTAACATCACCTGCCAAGAGATTCCACTGCTGTAGTCTGGAGCCCAACAGCTCTGCCTTACTCTTGGGTAGTTCCAAATCCCTGACAAGGTCATTCAGCAGTTCACCTTGTGTTATGAGGTGTGGTTCAGAGGAGGAGGATGGGAAAAAATGTGGGTCCTGTGACATTGATGGTTCAGGACCAGAAGTTTCATCCTCTTCCTCGTCTGACTCAAGTGAGAATGATTCTGGTGCATCAGGAACCGGCAGTCCTTCTCCGTGGGGTACTGGGCGTATAGCTGATGGAATGTTTGGATAATGCACAGTCCACTTTTTCTTCTTTGACACACCTTTCCCAACTGGAGGCACCATGCAGAAGTAACAATTGCTGGTATGATCTGTTGGCTCTCTCCAAATCATTGGCACTGCAAAAGGCATAGATTTCCTTTTCCTGTTCAACCACTGGCAAAGATTTGTCGCACAAGTGTTGCAGCCCACCTCTTGTCCTGATCTCCAATTTTGCAGCCAAAATAAAGGTGATAGGCTTTCTTAACCATAGTGGTTATACTGCGCTTTTGTGATGCAAAAGTCACTTCACCACAAACATAGCAGAAGTTATCTGCACTGTTCACACAAGTACGAGGCATCTCTGCTCACTTTGGCTAAACAGAAATGTGTCCCTTTGCAAAATCAAACACTGACAAATAAGAGAGCACGACACTGTATGATTTCTAGAGCTGATATAGGGCGATTTGTTCAGCAGAGTGATGTAAGCTTTGTTATGATTGCATCATCCATGACTTCTAGGAATAACACGATGCAATTCATATCATGTATGACGCAATACCAGCTTCAGATTGCATCATTCATTGTTTTGCCTAAAAAGCAAGTACTGTCCAAACCCAGTCATAGATTTATTCATAGATCCAGTCAAAGATGTATTTTAGTCATTTCTGGTTTAAATTGAGATCCCTTCCCTTTATAACTCACTTATCCTCCGCCATTCCCAAGTCAAGGGTCATATATACTGACCCAATAGCATATCTTGAAAACTAGAGCCAATCAACAATTTTAAGCATCATTTTCGTTCTCAGTGACCCAGAATTAGTAAAGTTTGACTACATTTATTTCAGAAGCATTTTGGCTGTAGAGCAGTGTAATAGAACAATAATTTAGCTCTTAGTCTGTTCTGTAACAGCAAAGCAATTTTTGGATCAGATGCAGACGTGAAACTAAAATTACCTGCTTAGTCTGAATAAATGAACTGTAAGATCTTGAGACCATTCTGGGAGATGTGCTATACTCAAGAATTTTGCCCTCATTTAGCATATGGATGCTTTAGCTGAAGCTTTTCCTATTCACAAGCAAAAACTTGGCCAAACTGTTTCATATGGTTAAAGATAGAATGCAGGAGTAAGTTCAGAAAAAACTGCGGCCATTTCTTTAATGAATAGTTTTAAATTTTGGGAACATTGCTCATAAAGTACTTACAACTACAAATGAAACTACAATTCCTAACTTAAATTGCCATTTCTGAGTCGCCTCTTGGTGGCTACCATCTTGCTAAAAGTGACAACTTTATTTACACTGAATTTGGAAGCCTGAAGGGAGACTATTAATCAATTTCTATCATGCTTTAATACTCGTATAACATCAAATTGAAAACATTTTTAAATGGGAGAGAAGCAAATCTGAAGAGTAGAGAGAAGTGACAGATAAGCAAAGAGGAAGAAGTGCTGGGATAAGCATAGCCTGGATGAAGCATCCAAATATCCTGCCTACTTCTTGACAGAACTCTCAAAGAGTGAGGTTTTTATCTAATGGTTTGAATACTGCTTATTCTGAAAGGGAATCCATTACTGCCTGTTCAGGTCATTTTTTATGTTAACAATAGTTTTTATAAAATGATTACTTTCAGTTGTTTATGACCATGGATGCAATTTTTAACAAAAGCATAGGTTCCAATTTGATATAGATTATGCTATAATCTGAGACCCCATTATAAATTTTAAAAATATTTACAAAATTGAGGAAGAAATGCTTCACTATAATGCAGTCATAACTATATGTGCAATAATTATAAGGATTTACATATCACTGACTCAATAGTGAGTATATGCAGGGAAGAAAAAGGCCATCCCATACTTTCCTATTGTATAATTGGAATTGACCCAGAGAAAGCCATTTATCATGAAAACCATCATAGGCTAAAAATATAGAGCACAGATATGAGCCCAAACCACTTCAGGTTCTTAAATATGAAGACTGAGTACACTTGATCAAAATTTAAATCCTTTGTTAACATCAAGTGACATCACTAAAATGAACATCCTACCTGTGTGACATTCTTAAAAAAAAAAAAAAAAAAAAAGAAAGAAACTTACCTTTACAAAGAAATTCACCATTTGTTTTCAAAATTCAGATAACAAATTAGTTACATCATTATACACGGCTATATGTATTAGCATACTTCCCTTTCAAGTAAAATGAAAATATAATTAGCAGTTTATGTACTTTTAAATACCATACCCTATCAGAGGGATCTCAATTACATCTTCTTCTACCAGAAGGAGTAGTCTATCTCGAAGGTCCTCCTCACTGTCAGGATGATATTCCACAGTAGCTGTAACTTGAAGACCAGATGCAACAGGTTTATCTGGATTTTCCACAATCAATTTAAACTACAATGAAAAAAACAGCAATATTTAAATCAATTTTTAAATATTTCTATATAAACCTCTGTATACAAGTGGCCCATTTTCAGCATAATATGTTGGGGTTTACCTGTGTAATTAACATTATGATCAACAGCTTTAAAATTCCACTCACTATTCACCACTGGCAAGAAGAAGTAGTTTCCTGATAATATAGTACGCTAGAATACTGATACGTCAATTTCTGCAAAAATTAACTTTTATTTAACAGTGTGTTATTTCTACTCTTGATGGTTAAGAAGATAAGCTACCAAATGTGAACCAATGCACTGTTATCTTCCTAACTCTACAGACAGACACCTCCATTGCCTCTGCTGCTGCTATTAGCTTTCCCAAACAACAAAGGCAAAATTATAAAGACTTTACTCAGTTTCCTTGTTACGATTCAGAACCTTATGAGTAGCAGTTAAAGTGCCAAGAATCAGAGCAGTTTAACTCTAGTTTTCCTTGGGGAAAACATGCACAATTGTAAAGGCACACAGTACAGTTATTCAATGAGGAGATGATTCAGCTCAATGGAAAGTCTCCCACTGACTTCAGTGAGAGTCAGATTAGACCCTGAGAAGGGAGAGGGACCCAAAAATATCAATATTGAGGGAGTACATCTTTATTTTCTTTTGCACGTCTCTCTTCCTTGGGCTGCAAACTTGTCATGTGTATTGACCAGAAGCCAATATAAAGAGTTGGAGAGACCTCCCCCTCCCTCTACACATGCTCCCCTGAGTAGGGGACATGTTGAGCAACCTAGTAGGAATCCCAGCAGGAATTCTCAGGAAGTAGGGATGGGGACCTAGGATGTTGACCAAGGTATTAGCCTCCAAGTCAAGCCAATATTTCCTAATGAAAGAGTGAACTGAGCTCCGATAGTAACTTTGCCAATTTCAGGGAATGATATATTACATATGCAAGCAAGAGTGGCCACTCTTCCTCTCAGAGAATGGGGTCTTGGCTTTTCTGGTCAGCTAGATCAGCAAAATTCTTAAAATGAATGCAGTGACGGATTAGCAGGGCCGGCTCTAGGCACCAGCCAAACAAGCTGGTGCTTGGGGCGGCACATTTTTAGGGGCGGCATGGCCG